CCGTTGGGACTTTATATCTCAATGGCTTTATTAGAATTAATGTAGCAACTTTTTCATTAAAGTTTATTTTCCTACAGTTTCCAAACCTACTTCTATGAAAAAAACTGATACAGTCAACTCATGTACCTTGTAATAGCACCATGATCAAATGCACAAATCAATGATATCCCCCTAGCAATTGTTAGAAAATGATAATATGTTAGTATTCCTAACAGTGTTTCTGTCGAATCACAGAATTATTTTGGCTGTGCCTTCATGTTATGGACTCACATGTCTTTTTGGAAGTAGAAATAGAATAATGTTCTCAAATAGGAGTGAAAATAAGAGAAAACTGTGGAGTTTTTTAAAATAATAAATATAATTAAGATGCTCTGGAAATACTGAATGAGCATCTCTAGAAGTTGGAATGACTCCATTAACTTAGATTTTGAACACTCATTTTTGTAAGAAGACGAAGTAAGGAAATTCCCAAAATAGCTGTCAGAAAAAATTTTGGATGATACATGGGGGACACACATATACATCTTAAGACCTCAGGCATTCAGAGTCCTTCCATTGAACTGTCTTCCACCCACCATCATCTGGAGTCAGAGTCCTTCCAAAACACCTTCTTCATTGCTGCCTTCACATCCTTGTTCCGCAGTGTGTATATCAGGGGGTTGATCATGGGGGAAATGATGGTGTAGAAGAGAGCTATGACCTTGCCCTGATCCTGGGAGTAGTTGTTCCTGGGCTGGGCATAAGCATAGATGGCTGTGCCATAGAACAGGGAGACCACGGTCAGGTGGGATCCACATGTCCCAAATGCTTTTCTCTGCCCTACAGCAGACTTTATTCTTAAGATTACCCTGGCAATCTGAACATAGGAGAATATGATTAATGCCACAGGTATGAAAAGAATGATGACACTGACAAAGAAGAGCTCAGACTCATTCCTAGTGGTGTCAACACAGGCAAGATTGAGCAAAGGAGGGACCTCACAAAAGAAGTGGTCTAATTTATTTCTGCCACAAAGTGGTAAAAGGAAGATGAGCACTGTCTGCAATAAGGAGTTGGCAAAACCAACGAGCCATGAAGCAGAAGCCATCAGGGCACAGAGACGAGGGTGCATGATCACTGTGTAGTGAAGGGGCCTGCAAACAGCTGCATAGCGGTCAAATGCCATTACTGCTAACAGAATGCATTCTGTACCTCCCAACCCCAGAGACATGAACAGCTGAACTACACACCCACCGAAGGAGATAGATTTGTCTGCTCCACTGAGATTAACCAGGAACTGGGGAACAATACTGGTAGTGTAACACAGGTCCAGGAAGCTTAGGTTGGAGAGGAAAAAGTACATAGGGGTGTGAAGTTGTGGGTCCACATGGGACAATGCAATGATGGTTGAGTTTCCCAGCAAAGTGAAGGTGTAGAAAACCAGAAGAACCACAAAGAGGACTAGCTCCAGTTGAGGCCTGTCAGAGAAACCTAGCAGGATAAACCCGGTGAAAGAACTTCCATTTTTCTGTTCCATCCTTTGTTAGCACATGGCTCCTGTCAAGACAAAGAACTGAACAAGTTTTAAAAGGTATCTTAAAAAAGAAAGCGGGGGACAGTGGGAGGGGACATGAATTTATCATGTTAAAAGGCAGGGCCATGGAATTTATGTGCAACTATTTGAGTAAATAATGTACTTATTGAAATTAACATGTGTCATAACAATTTAGGCCACATTATCAAAAATAGCAATATTGACATTAAAAATAAGAAAAATCAAATAATGGACCTTGTGTCTGCATCAATCATACATATAAAAAGGCCTCTCTCAGATTGGGTGTAATAGGATTTAAGGTGCTATGTGAATATATGAACATTTTAGAGAAAATGGGGATAGGAGAAAAAGGGAAGGGCAATCAGAAACAATGAACTATGAAAGAGACTCAGATAGGAGGAAAGGTTACTTTAAACATGAATCTCATAATTCTACACAACTACATTTGCATATACTTCTCATGCAATAGAATACAAGATAATCTCTAAAATTGATTTAGTAATAGGAATTTAT